GTAGGAGCAGATTTAACATCCCAGTAACACCATTACATTTTAGAGTCAGGGCTTAAGGACGTGGGGGGGTGGGGGGACCCCAGCAGGCACTAAACTGTTGAGAATGACACAGATAGAAACTTTCTCCTAATTCCCACAGCATAGCGTAATGCACACACACACACACACACACACACACACACACACACACACACACACACACACATTTCCCCCCTCACAGACTGGAGAAGATGAGCAGTTCCTGCAGGAAATGTCCTCTTTTCTTTAACAACAAGGGACAGAGAAAGTGTGTCACACAGCGTTAAGTTTTGGACTTCTGTTTGGTTGCAGCACATGCTTTTGTGTTTTTAGATGTTTGTGTGGATGTGAAGTTTTGTGTCTTCTGGACATGTATATTTAATTTTCTTTATGAAGTCCTCAGGCTGAACCCCCCGTAAAATATTTACTGATGAGTAGATGAGAAGGAATTAAAGCAATTTATGGGATTTTTTTTCCCCTACAAAATGTGTCAGTGTACATTTGTGTGTTTTTATTTGCAGTTACACTGAAAATGCTTCTTTTTATTACAGTATGGACACGAGGATTTTTGTGTGGCATGATTTTGTGTATATGTATAATCCTCATCAATTACAGTCAAAAGCAGCTACATAATTGAGGATTATATAGACCAGATTTCCAGGCAGYTACCTTAAAGTCCATCTCGTTCACTCAAGGCCCATTAGTCGGTGTGTGTGTGTTCTGTGTGTGTGTGCTCGCATGCCTACAGCACCTGGTGTCTGACAGTGCCTAACCTAATGGAAGTAAAGCACAGCTGTAAAACCACTGGCCTGTGCTCTATATCCGCCTGCGCAAGTGTCTAGCTAACAGCTTTCACACCCCTGCCTCCAAGCAAACACACATATAGGTGCGCRTACTCATTTATAGGCGCATACCGATTCAGACACACAAATACAGGGAGTCATATCGCACCTAATGGTTCAATAGCTTATAGAGAATAATTCAGGGAGAAATGGGGCACAGAGGGGGAAGTGAGAGGGGTTTCAGGGACAAGGTAATGTAAATYTCCAGACATAATCCACGGAAGGGAAAAGACCATCGGATGTAGCAGTTTGTCTTAAGCTGGGAGACATTTTGTGTGTGTGTGTGTGTGTGTGTGTGTGTGTGTGTGTGTGTGTG